AAATGCTGGAGTGGATGTGGAGAGAGAGGAACACTCCTACACTGCTGGTGGGACTGCAAACTAGTTCAACCTCTGTGGAAAGCAATATGGAGATACCTTAAAGCGATACAACTGAATCTACCATTTGATCCAGCAATCCCATTGCTGGGCATCTACCCAAAAGATCCAATGACACTCTACAAAAAAGACACCTGCACTCGAATGTTTATAGCAGCACAATTCATAATTGCAAGGCTGTGGAAACAGCCCAAGTGCCCATCAATCCAAGAATGGATTAATAAAATGTGGTATATGTATACCATGGAGTACTATTCAGCTCTAAGAAACAATGGTGATATAGCACATCTTATATTTTCCTGGTTAGAGCTGGAACCCATACTATTAAGTGAAGTTTCCCAAGAATGGAAAAACAAGCACCACATATACTCACCAACAAATTGGTATAACTGAACCTAAGTGGTCACATAGGTACTACAGTAATAGGGTATTGGGCAGGTGGGAGGGGGAAGGGGGGCGGGTATATACATATATAATGAGTGAGTTGTCCACCATCTGGGGGATGGTCATGCTGGAGACTCAGACTTGTGGGGTTGGGGGGGGGGAAATGGGCATTTATTGAAACCTTAATATCTGTACCCCCATAATATGCCGAAATAATAAAAAAAAATGAATAATGTATGCAAGGAAAAATTTGGGGTACAATAAAATCTATAACTGCCACATCATAAACATCTAAATTTTGAAAACCTCTCTATTTATTAGGTAAAACAAGTACTGTTTTGCAACTGAGTAAAGAAAATTAAAGTCAAAAGTAAAAGACCTTTCATGATTAAATAAATATATTTTATTTACCTTGAGTGCTAAAAGGCTTTTATTAATTTCAGCACCTTCAAGCCTAGTTTGCCTGTCTGCACTGGAAGTATCAGCTCCTCTTTCATTTCCAGCCAAATCGATGAGAGAAAATTTGCCATGTAGTTTTCCTTTTCTTCTAAGAATAATCTGAAACACTGCATGGCTTCGAGATGAATGGGCATTTGCAGATGTTTGACCAGATGTTCTACAATGTGTAAAGATATCTTGATACATAAAAACTTCAAGTTACATGTTCAAAACCACAGTATTTTCATTAAAAACAACTATTTAGCCAGTTTTCATCATTTAAATGGAGATGAGATACTTTCAGTTGATGACACTTAAATGTAACCAGATTTATATAATTTAATTTGGTATATTTCTAATATATTTGCAGTATAGTTTCAATATAATAGAAGTCACTCAAATTTACAAGTAACAACAGTTTTTATGAGCAATGACTTTTACTTCCAAGGTGTATTGAATGATATCCTCACTTTGTTTTTATGCTATACCTGAAGTATCTAAAACTGAAGTTTCTTTTCTTAATTAAAATGAGTTTTACCTGCAACTGTTGCCTATGTCAATGAGTTTTAGTACATCTTCAACACATTTGACCTCCCGTTCCTGTAATCCCACCACTTGAACCTGCTGTTTTCCATCTTCTAGAACTCTTAGTTTGGTTTTCCTATTTAGCAAGTCAAACACCTATGAGAAACCATATTCAAATCAGAAAACTATAGAAAAAAGTATCAGTTCTATAAAAATGAGCCAGGGTTTGAAAATATTTCAGAGATTAAAATAATAATTATTATTAGAATGATAGTAATGCTCAATATTGACTCTGGAAAGTTTCAAAGGACATTTAAAAAAATCTTACAACATAAGCTCTAACATAAAAATCCCACATATACATAAAAATATGTGGTGGTGAAGGTTGCACAATAATATGAATGTACTTAATGCCACTGAACTTATAGTTAACATGTCAAAATTTATATTATGTATATTTTACCACAATTTTAAAAAATAAAAATTAAAAAAAAAAAAAAATTAAAAACAAGTTCCCACTTACCTTTCCACTATAAATTTCAAAAAAGGTTGCATATACTTGAAGTTCCAGCTTCTTATAGTTTGGCTTCTTTAGCATTAAAAAGACATCTCGAGCTACCAAGAATTTCATATACATAAAATTAGATGTAACAAATATTATTATTTTTTTTTTTTTTGAGACAGAGTCTCACTTTGTTGTCCAGGCTAGAGTGAGTGCCGTGGCGTCAGCCTAGCTCACAGCAACCTCAAACTCCTGGGCTCAAGCGATCCTCCTGCCTCAGCCTCCCAAGTAGCTGGGACTACAGGCATGTGCCACCATGCCCGGCTAATTTTTTATATATATATCAGTTGGCCAATTAATTTCTTTCTATTTATAGTAGAGACGGGGTCTCGCTCTTGCTCAGGCTGGTTTTGAACTCCTGACCTTGAGCAATCCGCCCGCCTCGGCCTCCCAAGAGCTAAGATTATAGGCGTGAGCCACAGCGCCCGGCCTAACAAATATTATTTTTAAAAAGCAACTCAAATTTTCTATTTTTAGAAGAATCAGCTAATCATTACCTAGTATAATAAAATCAACAATAAAAATGAACACCTAAAGTGAATTGAATTTTATAGGAAAATAGTAATAGAAGCTACTCTCCTTCCATATTCCATAAAAGGATGTTATTACTTCTCCTTACAAATAGCATGAAACCATAGATGGTCAAAATAAGGTTATTCTCATACCGTATCAAACAGCTTTTTACAATTCAGCTGTGCAACAATACTAACCTCCAACAACGTGCTACAGTCCACCTACACAAACAAAACAAGATTTCTGCCCCCCAAAACTCAATCTTACAGTTCATTTCAAGCCATCTAATAACCTATAACTGTCGTAATATACAGTAGCTAAAGCATTACAGTTGCTGAACAATACTGTCAAACCTTATTTCAAAGTGACCTGAATAATATTTAAGAATATTCCAAATTAAATGTGAAAAGGAATGTTACCTGCTAATGCATAAATTCCTTTAGAACAATCTTGGTTCTTTCCTGAAAAGTCACCACCCATAGTCTGTATTTTAAAAAGAAGATGAAGAACAGACATTATTCAGGAATAATTCTCAAGGATTTAAGTCTCAGAATTAAGTTATAAGGAAAAGAAAGTATAACTTCATACCAGGATGTAACTTCAATTACTTACATGAGTTTTTCCACTTCCAGTCTGCCCATAAGCAAAGCATGTAGCCATTCCCCTTTCAAATATAGTTTCCACTAGTGGTCTAGCAGTAAACCTTAAAAAGAAAATGCATCGGTCAGAATGTTTTGCCAATATTTAAATATCAAAAGTAATACCAAGTAATACAAAGTATTTTATTAATAAATGAATCTTATAACAAGATTTTAAGCAAATCTTTGCCAAAAGTTTTAAATAACCATATCCTAGAATTACTTAAAGCATAACTTCAATCAATAATTCCATAATAAATAATGACATAATAAGGCATACATAATGAAAACAAACAAGAACTATCAATTACAATTTCAAAAGAAATAGAATTTAAAAAGTTGTAATCTCAATAGAAAAAGAGAAAAAAATTGCAAAAAATTATTTTCAGACTGTCTAAATAAATGGAAAAATGATAATTACTTTGAATGTAGACAAGTAATTTACACCTAAGGGAAAAGAATAAAAATTGTGCTTATAAGACATTAAATTCTGAGTTGATAGCCTTGCTTCAGGAAAAGGATGCCTAAATATTATGGCTTGGATTACTTTTTAGACATATTGATATAACCCATAGCTAGAGTTAAAATAAAAAGGTGAGAAGGGATAAGAAACGCTTCTTCACTGAGCAGAGTGAAGTACTGAAAAGTATACTAAGTATTAAAAAGTACAATAAAAAAGCAAATCTATAAGTGGAATACTTTATACAACTCTTTTTTTTTTTTTTTTTAAGGCAAAACTGAAGAAGGCACAGAATAAAAACAGCAGAAGAAATTTGTGGTCAAACAGAAGCAGAAATGAATCTATAGACCAGGCGTGGTGGTTCACGCCAGTAAACCCCAGCACTTGAGGCCAGGAGTTAGAGAATAGTCTGGGCAATATCAGGAGGCCTGGTCTCTACAAAAAAGAAGGAAAATTCTCCAGATGTGGTGGTGTGTGCCTGTAGTCCCAGCTACTCGGAAGGCTGAGGCAAGAGGATAATCTGAGCTCAGGAGGTCAAGGCTCCAGTGAGTTATGATTGTGCCACTGCACTCCTGTACTCTGGGCAACAGAGTCTCTTAACCTAGTCTCTTAACATTAATAATAATTGGGTGCTTGGCCAATTTACAATTATAATTTCCTTTTAAACACATTCTTCACAATATCTCTATCTAGCATTCATGTGTTTTTTAACTTTATCCTTTTTCTTTTACAGCTGAACTTCCAGTTTACTGGCTAAAGACAAATGAAGTTGGTCTCAACAGTATTTCATTTGTAACACTTGTAATTCGTAGGAGTCTTAACTGTAATTTTCTCTTTTCCAGTCATTTTTATAAAATTAAAGGGCAACAAAACATAGTATTCAGGTAATTACAAAAGACAGGCAATATAAACTAAAATAGCAATTCTGCTAAAACTATCGTTATAATTATTAGAAATGAATGTTTGAAAACTGATGAAAACTTAAGTTTGGTACAAAGATTTGGGATATCAATGTACAATACATGTAAATTTGAATTGTTTATGAAATGAATATATAAACATATAAGAAACTCATGTACTAAAACTATCTCCAAGCCTAAAGATGATAAAATCAGGCAAATGCAAGTAGATTTACAGAACTTTTTCATATTCAGTGGTGGTACATGCTAAATAAAGATTTAGACAAATTTATGATTGACAACAACAGGTATTTTATTTTATTTTATTTTTTTGAGACACAGTCTCACTTTGTTGCCCAGGCTAGAGTGAGTGCCGTGGCGTCAGCCTAGCTCACAGCAACCTCAAACTCCTGGGCTCCAGCAATCCTGCTGCCTCAGCCTCCCAAGTAGCTGGGACTACAGGCATGTGCCACCATGCCCGGCTAATTTTTTCTCTATATATATATTAGTTGGCCAATTAATTTCTTTCTATTTATAGTAGAGACATAGTCTTGCTCTTGTTCAGGCTGGTTTCGAACTCCTGACCTTGAGCAATCCACCTGCCTCGGCCTCCCAGAGTGCTAGGATTACAGGTGTGAGCCACCGCACCCGGCCAACAACAGGTATTTTAGAAGTCCTCTTCTCATCACATTCCATTCCTAGAGGTTAACATTTTCTAGAAATTTCTTATCTACATATACAGTTTGCGTGTGATACATATATTAGCAAGTAGCAACGAAAACTATGATTTTAGAGAACAAGTGTTCATTCATCATAACATGTATGACATTTTCTTTGTCTAAGCTCCGAATGAAAAAATGTATATAGCACCTCTGGAGAAATATTATAAGATCAATGTAAGTTTCAGAGTGGTGAACAAAATGGCATTAGAACAAAATTCTGACTTAAAAAGAATTTACCTACCTGTAAACCATTTCATTAGGAGCTGAGTCATCAAAGGCATAATCAAAACGAAATGTTTGGTTTTCTAGGTACCTTGTTAAATCTACTTTTTGTTTTGGTTCATGTACCATCACAACATCTTTACTAGGAATTGTGATTACATCAAGATCTTTCATTTGAGTTTCTAAAAGAATAAATGAAAATCAATGCCCAGTAATTCTCACAGCATTCAAATTAATGTGCAAAAATTATTTCAAGTAGTAAGAATTTATATAAAAGTAGTAAGTTCTGTAAATATGAAGATAATATCCCATAAACATGCCACTCAATAAGAAAATATTTCAAGAACAAAGTAAAAAAAAAAATAAAGATTTCTGTGAAGCAAGAACCAGGAATGGCAATAATTCATATAGCAATAACAAACCAACAAGTCTAACCATAGAAATCTGCATAATGGGTACATACAAATGAAAGGAAATGATTTACATTTTTCCATACTGATTTGATTTGTGCTATTAAAATACATTACAAATAAGATAAAGTCAACCTTTTATTAGAGCTCATTAAGCAGCATACCTTTTTTATTGAGTGGTCGTTTTCTTACACAAACACATATCCTATGTTCATCAATCTGAAAATAAAAAATATTTTATTTCTGTCATTATAAGTGTTATGTAAAACACTGTAAAGTTAACTGTGTAATATTTCCTCCAGGGGCTTCAGAAATTTACATATAACATAAATATAATAGGTAAGCTTTAAAAACAAATTAGCTTTACACAAATTTTAATGGTTGTCAGATAAAATTACTTCCAAAATTCTCAATGTAATAGAAACTTGCTTATTTTGTTATTTGGTGGACTGTCATCTTACAAAATAAATTCGTAAAGGGTACTATTTTTAGTAGCATTAAGTTCATGTTAAGAAGCTGCCTTATACACTTCAAGATGTGCTGTACCCAGCAAAGTAAAAATTTCTACTCTACCAAGTGGCATTTTTTTCAGGTTGATCATAGGGAAAGTTGTTGGCAAAGATAACTATAAGCAATAAACAGTATTCTCTGGAGATTATTGAACAAAATGATTTAAACAATTTAATTTGCTAATTCTAATATATAAGTATTTTTGCATAAAACTTATATTCCCAATACATGTCTCTGTTTAATAATAATTATAAAGCAGGAATTAACAGAGTATGGCCTGTGGGCCTAATTTAGCCTACTACTTCCTTCTGTAAAGGTTTATTGAAACACACTAATTAAAACAAATGTCATACCCATTAGTTTATGTATCATCTATGGTTGCTTTTACAATACAATGGCAGAGTTTAATAGTTGTGACAAAGTAAAAAATATTTACTTTCAGGCTTCTTTCAGAAAAAGTTTGCCAATTCCTGTCCTAAAACATGAGCCTAGATTTAGTAGGTGAAACACATGGAGGAGTAGCAAGGCCTAAAGTATATGGGCTACAAATATCATGAACAATTCTACTGAATTCTATATAATACATCTGACCACACAAATGTATCTTTTGTAGCTAACACATTTTTTATTTCCTAGGTCAGGTGGATTATTTTTATAAGTACCAGTTACTTAAAAAGTATTCCCTATCTAGTAAGTTCTCATTCTTTAACAGGAAAGGAGTAAAAAAGCAGAATATTTTTTTCCAGTACTAGATTTCTAGTCCACTGTAGCCCTCAACAACCATCACTTACTGTTAAAAGACAGAATAAAATGTATTTAAAAATAAAAAATTACTAATAGTAAACTGGAATGACGGTGGGATCTATAGTCCAAGCCAAAGAGGAAAATAAACTTGGAACTGAGATCAAAGTATAACTGACAGTCAGGAAGGAAACTGTGTCTTCTGCTGTCACCCCCTGAACTCTTGCTCTGCCCTTCCAAAGACAAGGAAGCTTTGCTTTGAAAAGGACATCTCATATATCAAATTATGGGAAATGAGCATAAATGTGGATTATTTCTTGATTTTCTTCTTAAAACATGGGGAATGAGCACCAATTAGGAGAGGAAAAACAATATATAGCTACTGTGTTTCCCCAAAAATAAGACAGGGTCTTATATTTATTTTTCCTCAAGAAGACACCCTAGGGCTTATTTTCAGAGAATGTGTTATTTTTTTTAAGTATGGTACAACAATCTACATTTATTCAAATATAGTTAAGTCGTCTTCTTCTGGAACATTATCATAACTCTCCAAACCCCAAATTCCATCCTGAATTTCTTGTGACTCTATTTCCTTTAGAACCATTGGCCCCGATCTCTCATGTCGAGCCAATAGAGCTCTCATGGGGCAGATGAGAAGGACTGCTGGTCGGGTCTTCTTTATTGCTCCACCACAAAATGCACAGGTTGTGCAGATAGGCTGCGTAGCCACGCCCATCACTAGGTCTTATTTTCAGGGTAGGGCTTATATTGCGTAAATGCTTAAAAATCCTGCTAGGGCTTATTTTATGGGTAGGTCTTATTTTCGGGAAAACACAGCAAATGCAATATGAATTTAGTGAGTATCAAACATGTTTTTATTTAAAGCATAAAAAGTTCCAGAGTAATGGTTTACAAAGAATCTTACAGGATCTGCTGTTGTTAATGGTCTATAATCCAAACTTCCTCTGAAGTCTCTGATCATACACATAATTTCATAATTTGGATTTGTAGCATCAACATCCTATTAGAAGACAGAGAGAATTCACCATTTATTCTAATTGCAATAATGCTGTACTTGTTGCATTTATAGTTATATACGATTTGAAAATTAAAATAGATTGAGTCATCTGTCATAACCAAGCACAAACTCAAACTGAAGATGATATAGTTTCAGAGTTTAGGTTTAATATGTTCAGAATCACCTCCATATTAAAAACAATTCTCTTAGTCTGCATGTACTCTGTTAACTCCAAATTAAAGCCACTCTTTACCTATTTCAAAAATCTATATTAAACATACACCTTAATTATCTTAGAAAATGGAGCAAAAGAGAAATAGTGCTAATTTTCACCACTGGCAAAGAACTCTAGAAAAGTTGAAATTCTAGAAAAATTCATTTAATCAGATTTTTCTTCTAATTTCTTAATCCAATGTTTTAGCAAAGTATTAATAGAAATATGGATTTATCTTCATTTCCTATTTTTTTGTTGACTCTCTTAAAAAAAACTAAGGTATGATAAAACAGCTCCAAATTGTAGAGGACATAGAATTTAAAGGAGCCAAGACAATTTTTAAAAATTTTAAAGTTCATGTTAGTGAATGCTGACTGCAATTTACTTTTTTGCTTCAAAACTGAGAAAATTCGGATTAAGATACAAATAGTAATAGTTAATAGCCTCTCCTAGCCATGAACAATAAATAATTGAACATTCTTAAGAAATCAGATTTTTTTATGTATCGTATTCAGATTTCTTTTGAATGTAATTAAATTACAAAACTGTTACTAAAACTTACTTTCAATTAACCTAGGAAATAACACCAACTATGTCAACTGAAAAGCAGAATGTGAAATAAGAATTAAGAGATCACAAAAATGTTTAAGTATTATGAAGTACCCATAGAAAACACCAGGTGGCATCTGTGCTAAATATCAGTAGATAACCTATTTTGTGTACTATTTATTTTATTTTTTTTTTTTTTTTTTTTTGTCAGAAATGGACTACGAAATTTACTATTTATTTTAAAACCCAATTAGCCATACTCAGGTCTCTTTCAGATAAAAGCTGATTTATTCAGGTTGAATATTATACTGGGTCTACATTTTCACAACACAACATCTGAACTGGTAATTTAACATGATTAAGGGTATTTGGACATACTATTAAATAAATAATACTGATGATTTACTATAGTAAACAAGTTCTGAGAATATAATAGATATCAGTACACTCGGGGAGTTGTACGTACAGTAACACAATTTCTAATATGTGAAGACCTGTAGGGGGATAAAAGACCAATCCTCTATGCAATTTTCCCATTGCTATTAAATAGTTTTGTTACCATTTTAAAATAAAAAGCCTATTATTCTTGAACCTTATACTGTAAACATTATAATTTTGTAACACAATGGCTTATTATTCATAATGGAACAAACTCTGAGGCTAACTCTGAGGCTAACATATACTAAGACATGAAAAGTAAATGCAACAAAAATCTGTTATGGTAATTTATTTTCACAGAAGTCTGTATTATTCCTCAATGTCAATTTAAGGAATTCATGAAGTTCTTGAAATGAATTGCTCAACTATTTTTTCACAAGTCAATCACTTTGATCGATACAGTCTAATCCTTGGTTTGTGCATAAAGAAAATATATGTTTGTTACAAACCTGGGCTCTTTTTTCTCTAAGTTCTTGCTGTTGCAGTCTCCTTTTTTCCCGTTTTTCTTGCAATTTTTCTACTTCTTTCACACAATTAGATTTTCTACGAGCTGAAAGAAAAAGATGAGCTGTAGTATGTATAGGTTTCTTTGTTAGAGTACTGTACTTACACTCAAAAATTCTACATATGATTTCACCACATACACACAAAAAAGGTACACAGTGACAAAGCATGCCTATAACATCTACATGAGCTCTACTTATGAGCTTCTTTATCAAAACTAGGAACAGGACAATAAACAAATGAGAGTCCAGAAAAATGACTCAAACATATTGATACATGTCATCTCTTGGTTTAGATCACAGATCTTTAAACTGAAAGGATCAAGAAGCACAAGACTGTCTTCTGAAACATCTGACATATTGTTATGTGCCCAGAATTTCAAACTCAAAGCAATTGAAAAAATTTCACACAAAAAAATTTTTGATCCAAAATATACATTTAAAAACCCAATTAAGAGACTAAACTAATTATTAAAAAAAGTAAATTTTCCACAGTGGTAAAAAGAAATCTGCAATCAAGTTTGCAATGAAATTGTTACCATTTGGAGACTTATAAGAATGACCAAGAGAGAATACATGTATGCCCAAAAATGACTATATCCTTGATACATAATTTACATACAAGGGGGTCCAAATTCCTTTTTTGCAGCTTGAACTGGAGATATATCTGAAACACTACCATTCTGTTGTGCCGAGGAAGACTGTTCAGGAAGCTGACTAGGCCGTGCACGTGCAGAACCCACCACTGTAAGTAAAAAAATTTTAAATTCAGAACAGAAAATCACTAAAAGCTAACTTTGGTAAAATGAAGAGATATCTCAAAAAAACTGTTACTTAAAAGTTACATCAGTAAATTGCCAAGTTTTCTATTTATACATACCATATTTCATTTATACACATATAAATCAATTCTGTTCAATGAACAGACATAAGCCAGAAGAGGTTTTCAATGTAATATGTGCAGACTTAGTTTCAAAAATGTAATTTTAACTACAAAACTCAACCTGAATAATTTACATAAAATCAAAGCCAAGCTTGATTTTTAATAATCATTTAAAAATATATATGTGAACCCCTCCATGTCTTAAGATTTCAGACTGCATTCTCGTTTTTAAAAATTCACATTATACAGAAAGTAAAAGTTTCTGTACAGAAGGTAAAACTTTAAAGTTCTTCAACCCTCATTATATTCCAAATCCCACTCTTTGCAAATATGCTAATCTTCAGCAGAGAATTTCCCAGTGTGGATATTATAAAGGTGAAAAAAGGATATGAAATTAAATATAAACTCTTATAAAGAAATATAAATTTTAACAAGATTCAAAGGATAGTGTTTAAACTGAAGGACTTTCCCTCTACTTCTAATCTCTCCTCTAATACTTCTGTCTGTCCTGCTCCACCACCCCACAGAGAAAAACATGACTATCACAAAGGACAATTTTGAACTGCTGAATAGTAGAAAAGAAATTAATTATGTTTTTCATTTTGTGACTGAAAATAAATGAAGGGAGACCTTCAGGTAACTACACAATTTATGCACCTGTGCAACTTTTCTTTAGCTGACTCCAAAGCTAACCATGATCCTTTTTGGTAACCCAATAGCCAGAAAATCATGATAAATGTGATGATTAAGTTTACCTTTGTGAATCAACCAATTAACTGACTCCTGCCCCATTCCTTCCTTTCTCATAATACTCTCCTCCAATCTGCAAATTATTGAATAAATTAGATGAATAAAATATGCATATGTCATGGAGTTTCATATTCATCATATATATTTTTAAAATCATTTTTTTGATATTATTGATACTGTGTTCGGAAATCAAGAAGATACCATCTTAAAATTAGCCATGTAATGTTTTAAATGAATAACGTCATCAAGAGTAGTACTTACTTCTGATTAACCTTTTCAGGGACATAGTAAAAAGTCAACAGGCAAAATTAAGTGATAAGTTTTTTTTTACCTCTATTATCTCTTGGAGGAGGATCATTCTTAATTGAAGCCACAGTCCGTCGATTCTATAAAAGGAAAAACATTTATTATATTTTCTTTCTTTATTCCTCATATAATATAATCTCAGCTTTTTTAAACAAAAGCAGACATGCACAACATACAATACATACAAAATACATACAATATAAAACTAAATGAAGAAAAACTATTATCTTCTAATGACTTATTACTAATGCTATCAATATTCAAAATTCCCTTATATGAGGTATTTTCTCTTCCTACTCTCTCTAAAAATATTCAGCAGTTAACACAAGCCAAGTACTGCTCTAAGGACTTTCTTTACAAACCTATGTGGCTATTATTATTGCTATTCCCATTTCACAGATGAGAAAACTGAAGCAGAGAATTTAAGCAGCTTCACTATGATTTGTGTTTTTAATCACCATGCTATCCTGCCAAAAACATGTAATAAATGGATATCAGGGGATAAATCATAAAATGTTAGTTCTAGAGAGCTTGGAATCCCTGGTTAAACTATCAGAATACTATGAAATGTTTATCAGCAGTAATCCTAAAAGGGTTTTATTAGAGTTTTAAGACAGCAAACTTTTGGTCGTATTATTCATTTACTCAGATTTAATTTTATTCACCTCAAAAAAAGATATCAAATAATGTAGTTTTTCTCCAACCATGGCTGCACATTCAAATCAGATGGGTACTATTAAAAGGACATCGATGCTAAGGCCTCCTGAGATAAAACAAAATTAAATCTCTGAGAGTGGAGCTCAGAAATCAGTATTTTATAAAATTCTCCAGGAATTTTTGTATAGCAAAGGTTGTTACTGATATACCAATAATAAACTTAATATGAAGATTTTCCACAGTTCTGAAGCCAAATATGAAGAAGAATCCATTTATAAGTGGTAATAATGACATTTAAGCAGTGACCCTCAATATGATTAAATGTATGAATTGAAAATCTGCTTTATATTCATATGCACTGCTTACATAACAGACTGTTTTGTTGGTATCATTAAGCTTCTATCATACTGTATGTGGATGCTTATTATGTCTTTCCTACAAGATAATCAAATTCTTACAGGTTGAAAGCCATGTCACTCATCTTTGTATTTCAGTAGCACAGTACCTGGCACCATGTGAAAAAAAATAAAAAATCAATAAATGCTTCTTCAACTGAACACAAAGAATTACAGATTCAACAACTTTGTGGTAGTATCTGGTTTAAATGGAGCTGTACTTTTTTTTCTGGAGACAGGGTCTTACTCTGCTGCCCAAGCTGTTGCCATGTAGTGCTATTATCTTAGCTCACTGCAAGCTCAAACTCCTGGGCTCAAGGGATCCTCCCATCCCAGCTACATCTCCCAAGTATCTGGGACTATAGGCCCATACCACCACATCTGGCTAATGTTTCTTATTTTTTGTAGAGACAAGGTCTTGCTATGTTTCTCAGGCTTGTCTCCAACTCCTGGGCTCAAGTGATTCACCCACCACAGCCTCCCAACGTGCTAGGGTTAAAAGCGTTAGCCACTGCACCCGGCCAGAGTTGTATTTTGATACAAATGTTTAATAGTGAAGGGTTTCGAGGGAAAAGAAGAGGAATTATTTTTAAAAACAGTAAAAATAATGTGATTTTAACTTCTGTAAAGATAAAATTGCTAAGGAAGATACAGCATGGTTTTAAGGTTTATCTTCACAGATAACAGAAGTAAATTACATGCTGTCATTTCAAATCTTTCTTTAATAAATATCAACAGCAGAATTTTCATTTCACTGACTGCCAGAGTTGGTATTCATAGATAAACAGCTATTATTCCTTTGTCAAAGTCATAAGTATTCACCAACAAACACTAACAAGCAAATGGTTTTGACTCATATCTCCTAAAAAGCTACTACTCTCAGGAAAAATCCTAATTAGGCAAGTAATTTCTAGGTTCTTTTCTAATGACTGTCGTAATTGTGAATTAGACAACCTCAATCCTTAAAAGTATTGTGTGTACATATGGATGTGGATAGCAGAAAGAATGAAAGTTTTTTTAAAAAGCAAATTAATCTCAATACTTAAAGCATTCCCTCAATATCCTAACAAGTTCAAACCAGAACATACACACCTAACACACACACACCCTGCTGTGAATTTTCATCACTGACCTTTACAATTTTGTTGACTTTGGCTGAGGATGCTGGAGGTGGAGGTGTTTCTGGACTGGGTTCAATGTCTTCATCAGGTACAAGATCAGGGTTAAGTGAAAAGATGCTCTCCAGGTCAATCTGTTTATAACAAAAACATTTATTTTGAGACTGCATTTTGACAATTAACCTTTTATTTTTCTAATAAATTGACATAAAGTAAATAACAGCTAAATGATTTCAGCCTAAAGGCAGTGCTTGCAAACTAAATTATACAGAATTATAATACATATTTAAAGAATCTCTCTTAAAACAGCATTTTATCATGTTGACTAGATGAATTGCAAAGCAACACAGTGGCCAATAGAACCACATAATTAACTTATAGCAAGTTTCAAATTTTATGAGCTGGGTTAAAAGAATAGTATATTTTCATCTAATAATTAACAAGTTTGACACATGCAATCACATAAGATATATAGGTGGAATCTACCTTCTTTTGAAAAGTTTTAATCATTTGAAAAATTTTCAAGTATTGATAAAGAATACATGTACTATATAAAACTATATTCTTTTTGAGACAGAGTCTCACTCTATTCCAGGAGTCCTCAAACTTTTTAAACAGGGGGCCAGTTCACTGTCCCTCAGACCACTGGAAGGATGGACTATAGTTTAAAAAAACTATGAACAAATTCCTATGCACACTGCACATACCTTATTTTGAAATAAAAAAACAAACAGGCAAAAACACCCGCATGTGGCCCACATGCCATAGTTTGAGGACACCTGCTCTATTCCCTGGGCTATAGTGCCATGGCATCAGCCTAGCTCACAGCAATTTAAAATTCAACAGCAACTTTAAATTCCCGGGCTCAAGTGATCCTCCTGCCTCAGCCTCCCGAATAGCAGGGACTTCAGGTGTGCACCACCAAACCTGGCTAAATTTTTCTATTTTTAGTAGAGACAGGGTCTTGCTCTTGCTCATGCTGGCCTTGAACTCCTGACCTCAATATAAAACTATATTCTTTTCTGTTTTGTTTCACATTCAGCATCTTGATTGCAGGACTAGTAATAAAATTTAAACCAATGGTCATACCTCTTTGCCTTTTGTATCTCCATTTTCTATCCATTCAACAGTTACACTTTCATTATCTTCATTTAAAGATGTTACCATTGCTTGATGTATTCGGCCTAAGTGGGAATAAAATACACATTTTTAAAATACTATGAATTGTGGCATTCCTATACAGTCAAATATAATTTTAAAACTTGTAATCTTTTTTCTTTAAATGACACTGCCTCTCCTTACAAGAGATGTACACAGAGTCTCAGGATTAGAGAATGAATTTTATCCATGGGTCCACAAATCAATTTGCTACTTGTCAAGTCCAGGAACTCAAGAAATTAGATTGAGGCTGAAAGTTTACTTTCAGTATTTATGATAAATTGTCATATAGTGATATGGAATGCTTGAAATTTTATACTGTTAAATAGGTCTGATCATTATAAAAATTCCTTACTATGAGCCAAAAAAGGCTACAAAGATGAAAATTCATAAAGCAATTTTTAATACTATACTGACATAAAACACTTTTTACTTAAAAATCACTTTTATTAAATATTGTGCAAATTGATACAATTATTTTAAAATTGAGAAATCTGAGTCCAAGAAGGTTGGGAAATGCTAATTTAAAATGGCTTCTTCTATATGTTACCTATTTAGATCTATTCTATTCCTTACTTTCCCTGACTACTCCAGACTTATCATCTATAGAGAGAAGATATTAATGTATTAAACCTGCTTTCCCCTATTAATAGACTGTGGATCATATATATCTGTTAAATAACTACAGATCTAAATAATTATGTGTAATTATTATATAATACTCCATTATGTTTATAATAATTTATCTAATACCTATTGATGGTCACTTAGGATATGTGCAATTTTTTACTATTATAAACACTGCAATGAATACTATCGTATATTTGTCACTATCCACTTGTCAGATTATTTCCTTAGGACAAATTTCTAGAAGCAGACAAACAGAATATTTATTAAAAAAACTTTTTTTTAACTTGTTTCATCTGTTTTCATCTTACCTATCCTTTCGATTATCAGTCTAGTAAGAACAGAAACTACGTTATATAACTGCATCTTTAATATTACCTAAAAAAGTGCTGAACATATGGAATTTTCAAATGTAGTTCTTAAACGAAATCCTTGGGGCATCTATAATTTTACTTTAGGGTAATTTATAGTTATTTAAACATCTAAAAACAGATATACAGTACATAAAACAATGTTAGTATAAGGCATACAACAATAACCTTAAATAAAATATGGGCACTGTAATAATTTGAAAGTGTTATTATGTATGAAATTACTATGAATAGAGATGATTACCTCATAGGTATATTTGTTGCTATTAAATGGAACAGCGTAGATTAAAATGAGCCAGTATATAAAAAAGCCCACCTCTTATGTATGGGCTCAAATAAAAATTTGCAGAAGTTATAAATGAATATAATCTTGTAAAAAAAATCCAATGTCGAGGATGTAAATACTCTCAAATGATATACTGATGCTGCTTTGTTTAAAAACTAAAATATAAACTAGTGATCTTTCCATGAGAATATGTATAGATTTACCTATCAATTTTAACCACCACATACCATTCCATAAAAGGAATGTATCACAATTTAACTTTACTAAGAATAATTTTAATTGTTTCCAACTGTTTGCCATTAAAAGATGCTGTACTGAATATATAAACATAGGTATGAATGTTTCCATAAATGAAATTTCTAGAAGCAGAATTAATGGGTCAAGGAAATTGAAATTTTGATAGCTATTTCCAAATTACCCTCCATTTACATTCCCACCAATAGTGAGACCTATTCCCCCACATCCTCATCAACACTGAGCATTATTAATCTAAAATTGTATCAATCTAATGTATCAGATCTTTCTTTAAGCTGCTATTTTTTAAGCATGAATATGTCAGATACTGGCTCATTTTAATCTACGCTGTTCCATTTGAGAGCAACAAATATACCTATGAGGTAATCATCTCCATTTTAAAGATGAGAAAACTGAAGCTCAAGATCACACAGTTTATAAGTAGCATGGATCTGAACCTTGGTCAGACTGTAAAAGCACTCACTATTAATTACTATGTTTCTCTACTGCCTTGAATTTTAAGTAGATGATGTTTATATGGCTTAAAGTCCAGCATTCCTGTAAAAACTGATAAACTGGAGCGAATATTCTCAACACGCATTGTGCACCAGACATTCCTAGGGAATTTTTACAAAATAAATGACAATGCCTGCTCCCAGATAATAAGTCTATTCTTACCAAATTCACTGCTATCACCCTGGTACAAGCTACCAATGCCTTGTCCTTAGATTACTGTGATATTCTCACAACTAGTTTCCCTGCTTCCAACCTATCTGCCCTTCTGTCAATTCTCCAGAGCAGCCAAAATATTCCCAGTAGAAACTAAGTCAGATACTACTCCTTTGCTCAAAATCTTCCAATGGCTCCAATCTCATAAAGAGTAAAAGCCAAGGTCCTTTCAATGGCCTTTTAGTGACCTCTAGCAAAGCCCTACTTGACCTGACCCCTCATTACCTGTGGCCTCATTCATCCTTTACTAGAGTGGCAACTTTCCCTTTCAAGGGACTGATTCCTATCTCACACAGTACCACCTCCAACCCCCCTAATCCCCAAAAGATGGGTCAAGGACTTAAATGCGAAAGACAAATGTGAAAGCAAGTGAGTAAACAATGGTACCATTTACTGAGATAAGTGGACATTGGAGGAGAAACGTGTTAGGGTGGAGGAAACTGATCAGCTAGAAAATACCAGGAGGATTCAAAATGGAGAGGCTTAAAGAGTGGAAATTAGGTAACCCTTACTTCAATTTGATTTAGAGAGAAATTAGGTAAATAACCACTAGAAATGGTATATGTCATTTGGGTCCTCTTGGCAGCAGATGTGACAGCTAGGTGTGCAAGAGGTTTATTGTGAAAGATAAAAGAGGGAGGAAAGATGGTTGCCAAGGGCATGGAAAACTTTCAGACTATGATGCAGATCTGAAACCTATGAAGGAAATGGGGATATGAAAGAAGAACTGAGCAGACCTTGATGCAGATCTGACAAATTCTTGGCCAACCCAGCAGGGAGCTTCAGAGCAAGACTGCCTATTAGAGGAGTCCTAGACTGGGCCAAAATGGACATGCCCTATTATCCATGCTATACTCTGTCACCGGCTGGGCGTTTCACAGGAAATTCAAGGCCTCAGCCAAAAAGCTAAGAATCCAGAAGGTACTATCAGCTAGAGGCTATGAGCTGACTCTACTCCCTGAAACTTTCTTTCTTAGTGGGATATCCAAGCAGTGTATTTACATGGTTGTAACAGGATTTGAAAAAGAAAATGAGTTTAATTGGTAGTGGAAATGAAGAGTGGATCCCAGAGAGGCTAAGTAGCCCTGCTAAGGTAAACATAGTCACCGTCACAAACTGGAATGGAGGAGCTATCACTGCTGCACCAAACCACACATCAATCACCATCTCCACATTAGTGAGGCTGAAACCCAGCAGCCACCCTTGTCCCCACGGGCCATGGAGCCTCAGAACAGTAATATGAACCATTGGGGACAAGAAGATTATCACAACAAAGGTTTTAGAGAAAATGAAAGGGTTTAATAAAGACACTGATATGGTTTTATCAACAGGAAAAAAGGAAATATTTGAACCCAAGGAAGATTATTTGAATACCAGATGATCATAAAGAAAAACCCTCAACAGGAAATGGAGAAGCTGTGGTTGAGGTTGTCGAAGAAATGAGTACAGAGATGGGTCTCCATGCAATTACCAACAGAGTTATAGAACAATAATGAGAATGCAGAAAGCATGTGCATGTTCCAAAAGGCAAGACCAACACTTTTCCTACTGTTGGGCATCTACTTAGTACTCCAACTTTTCTGGGCAAGCAATAGTGACTTAATCCATCATAACTAGGTATGCAAAAAAAGGTAGACCTGTGGGGCAAAATATTTATCAGGGCTATAGTTCACAATCCCACAGGGACCTTAATCTCCAAAGAGCCTAGAGTAATTAGCAATGAGAGGATAAAGAAAATCAAGGAGAGACTACCCAGTATTAGCAGTCTCCTCATTGGAACACTGGAACCTCCATGACTTCAATTCCCAACGTAGACATCGCGAAAGCCTTAAACCACAAGTAAGCAGAATCAAAAGCATCTGATCCACAAGCTAAGACTAAACTCTAGAGGTTGAGAAGGGCAGGACTGAGAAATATGTTGGCATATCTCTATCATAATACAGTTTACTCATCCAACAAGAAGAAATGAATATGAAATTCCTACAGTAAAAAATGAATAAATGAAGTCTTAAGCATTTGCTTTTTGCCAATTTATCAAATAACTAGAAACATCTGCAGTACCCAATGCAGCATGGGGCTTTTATTTGTATTAAAAGATGTCTATAAAAAAAGAAATCCTAACTTTTCCCAATATACCTTTAAATTTATTTATTTATTTATTTATTTATTTATTTATTTATTTTTGAGACAGAGTCTCACGTTGTTGTCCTGGCTAGAATGCCATGGCATTAGCTTAGCTCACAGCAGTTTCAAACTCTTGGGCTCAAGCAATCCTGCTGCCTCAGCCTCCTGAGTAACTGGGACTACAGGCACATGCTACCATGCCCGGCTAATTTTTTCTATATATTTTTAGTTGGCTAATTAATTTCTTTCTATTTTTAGTAGAGATGGGATCTCACTCTTGCTCAGGCGGGTTTCGAACTCCTGACCTTGAGCGATCCTCCCACCTCGGCCTCCCAGAGTGCTAGGATTACAGGCGTGAGCCACCACACCCGGCCTGCCTTTAAATTTTTAAAAATTGTTTCAATTGAGATGCTCAAGTGCCTCTTTTTTAATTGTAATAAAAATTTACAATCTAATTTTTTCAGGAATCAAATAGCAAGCACCTGTTAAAGATGTTAAATAAGGCTGGGCACAGTGGCTCACGCCTGTAATCCTAGCACTCTGGGAGGCTGAGGAGGGCGGATTGCTCGAGGTCAGGAGTTCAAAACCAGCCTGAGCAAGAGCGAGACCCCGGTCTCTACTATAAATAGAAAGAAATTAATTGGCCAACTAATAT